TTTTTATTTTAAATTTCAAATCTCTAGCAACTGCAGTACTTTGCTTTTAGCTGAGTGATGGAGAATTAATATGTTGCCAGCTGTCCCCACATCCCATGAATGAAAAAAAAACAAAACTACAGATCTAGGTTTTAGATTCAACACTGCAAAATAGTGCAGGTGCTGCAAAATCTGAACTAAAACCATAACAGCTGGAAGTATCCACTTTAATTTTAGGTCCTAGGTTTGAACCTGGTTGATAATCTAAGGTTTTTTCTAAAAATCATAGAATCCTTACAGTGTGGAAGATGGTAATTCAGCCCATTGAGTCCACACCAACCGTCTGAAGAGCATCCCACTCAGACCTATGGCTAATCCACCTAGCCTGCATATCCCTGGACACTAAGGGTAATTTAGCATGGCCAATCCACCTAAACTGCACATTTTTGACTGTGAGTGGAAACCAGAGCATGCCCACTCAGAAACGGGGAGAATGTGCAAACTCCACAAAGACAGTCGCCCGAGATGAAATCGAACCCGGTTCCCTGGAGCTGTGAGATAGCGGTGTTAGCTGAGCCAACATGCTGCCCAAATGTGGTGGTGAGGGAGCTACAATGAATGTCCTCATCCCTGGTTAAGTTAGAAAATGATACAACTCTCTTGACCACCGAATGTGAGGATGTCATTCAAGGTCAGGATCAGGCTCAGCTGCAACATTCTTTCTACGGGCATTCACTCACTATCATCCAGAAGAATAATTATCATTTTGTGGAGGTATTGGAGGAAATGGTTATGCAATTCTACATCAGCAAGCTGTCAAGGAGGGAGAAATATTTTTTTACGAAGGGAATAGTTAATCCTAACTCACTACTCTTAAATAGGTTCAGGAATAGCTTTCTTTGATTTATAACAAAACTATGAAACCCATAATAAGTTCTTCTGTTAGTTTGTGGATTCAATTAACTACATCAAAACTGGGCAAAAGAATTAAATAACGAAAATGATTCAGTTGGGATTAGTTTGCTTTCATCCATCAGCAAGAGAGTCCAGCTTCCATTAGTCATCAATTCTAATTCAGTTGATTAGATTTGAAAACCAATATAATCAAAATGTTAAGAATAAAAGCTGGATCAAATCTCGCTTTTCAATTGAGCTCATTACAATTGCAGGAAGTTTGGTTGGATTCCAGCCTGTGCCTGAAATGGCCTGTACAGAGAGTGTAGGATGACATCTTTGCCATCAAGAGGATATACCAGTCACATACTGTATCAGAAAAAAGGGCAAGAAAAAGAGCAGAAGAGTTCTCATAGACAGAATCCTATACATTTAAATCAGCCAGTGCGACATAGATGGGGAAGCGAGCAGCAGGATAACTGGCTTACCATTGCACCTGCGGAATGAAATTAACATGGTGAGGAAAGATGAAACTTTTATAATGCAAGAGAGGAAGAGAATTCAGCAGAGATGTGAGGATTTCATCTTTTTTCAGTTGACAAAGCCTATTAACCTGGCTGGTTTTATTGCCTTCAATTGATATTTCTCACTTAATGTCAAGTAAAATCGTCCTTTTGATGAAACATCATCACTTTTGTTATCTCAGAATCTGGAGCTGACCTGAATATATTCAAGGAAATGAAGTAAAGAGAAGGAAGCAGCTGCCCTTTGCCTTGCCAGGGCTCAAGAGCTTAAGCTTCATCCCCCATTTTTAACAGGGCTGATAAAATATTAAAGCTGTAAATAGAAATTTTTTTTAAAAAAAGGTTTCTGAGCCTCAGGCAATTCCAGGATTAAATCTGATGAGGCACAGGAATTTTGCTTCTAAAATTAGTTAACTCTTTTTCTCCCGTGGCTGTGCCACTGTTACCAAGGTGACAAAGAAGTACGTGGACACAACTGAGACAGCTGCCTTTTGTTATTTGATGCTGCAGTGCCAACATGGAGTATTGGGTTGGTTTTAGTGTCTGTGAAAGGCAAACCTCTTCAAGACGCAAACAAAGGTTTTCACTAACATTGTTCATTTCAAATTAACATGGTGGAATTTAGAAGTGAAATATATAGATGCTGCCTCAAATAAGCAATAGTTGGAAATAGAAACCAATTTACATTTATAAGGCAATATGCATTTAAGCTGATATTTTAATAAAACTTGAAATGTGTACAAGTTTCCCTCTTTGCCATTCTTTCCAGCATTATAAATTGAGCAACCATATTGCACTGATTACCATTCAGTACTAATAATCAGACTCTTCCACATCATTGACTTAGGCAGGATAATATAGCAGGAGGGTGCAAGGGGGGCAGTGTTTCCATGAACATACTCAACAAAACTACATCAAAAAATTCAAAGAGGAAATTTTCACCATGTTTCAGTTGATCTTGGTGGACCAAAACTTTAAATTGCAAACACTAAATTTTAGTTCTGTGATTGTATTGCAACACCTTGGTGAACACTTCACAGTATAAACTATTGAATTTCACTAGTCAAACTGTTGAACCAATTAGCACTAAAAGAATATCTGTTACTTTTGTATTCTGTCCACTGTTTAACGGTCTGTACTTGTCTCACATCCAGTAAGGGATGTGCAGAAATTTCCTCCAACTAATTGTTGGGAGCACCAAAGCGATTGTTTATGGCTTCTGTCACAAACTCTATTTCATCAACCACAAACTCCAACCCTCTCCTTGACAACTGAATAAGGCTGAATCAGATTGTTTGTATGGGTGAGGTCATGTTTGAGCTAAAGATGCATTTCCAGCTATATACTTACACCATCACTAAGGGAGATGGTGTGCAATGGTAATATCAGTCTAGTAATCCAGAATCCTTGAGCAAACGGCAAAATTTGGATTCTACGAAAATCTGAAATTAAAAGTAGGCCTAATAGTAGCCATGTAACCAGTGTCAATTGTCAAAAAAGCACATCTCCTTCACTAATTCCCTTCAGGGAAGGAAGGAAATCTGCCATCCTTACCTGCTCTAGCCCTTGTGTGACTCTAGTTATATGGCAATGTGGTTTACTCAAATGCCCTCTGAGCCATTAGGATTAGGCAACAAATGCTGGCCTAACCAGTAACACCCACATCCCATGAATTCATTTTTTTTTTTAAAAAGACCAATGATGTTCACTTCCCTTAACATCTTCAGATTTCCTCCCTGTGTCAGCTAATCTGCAGGCACAACCCTGTCATTTGTTACCTCTAAACCTGATTATTCTATTGCAGTGCTCACACTTCTATTCTCTATAAACTCAAGGCCACATAAAACTCTTCAAGCCATTCCTGACTCACACTAGGGGCAGAATCTTGTGCTCCTAGAGATGTTGAATTTGAAGCAGAAAGGCAACTTGCCTAGGCAAGACAGTGTCATACTCAAAACCCATCATCTTCTCACCTCCACAATTTAGAATTAATTTCGGAGCTGGTAGGTCCATATTTCCCATTTCCTCCAACCGAAGCCTTTTAATAGTCACGTGAAGACCACGTAAGGACTTCAGTCTGATGCCACTACTTTCATAATCAATATAAAAGGAGGTTCACTTGGAAAAGTACCAACCATATTGAGAAACCTTGTGGGGAACACGCAGAGAGAGCACACAACCCTCCCTGCACCCTGTCCACTCCTACCTACACGAGCCTCCCTGCACCCTGTTCACTCCTACCTACACGAGCCTTCCTGCACCCTGTTTACTCCTCCCCAGCCTTGCTCAAGGCTGTTTTTATCCCTGGTTTCTATTGACTAATGTGGCACAAAAGAGAAGATTGAGAAACGTTACAATGACAAACAGATTTTGCAGTGCAGACCACCAGCGATGTTAGCTGCTCTTCTGAAAAAAATTCTTTAGTAAAGCTGACAGTAGCTTGGCACAGCCTTTCTGAAAAAAATAAGCAGAATGAAATTACATCATTGGTAAAATGAATGAAAACAGAATTTTTATCTGAACCATTCGGATTGCCCATGTGCTTCATGCAGAAGCACCCTGATATGAGCAAAGTTATGATTTTATTACATTTACTGAGAATGCTCACTATGGAGAACAAGATTACTTTTAAAATTCTGTGTAGCAAGGTATGTTACCAAGCATTGACTACAGCATTTACATTGCATGGTTGGAATCTATGTATATCAGGGTGTATCTAGCACAGGTCACACTTGGAATTAGGGAAATAGCGAGCAATATTCCTGCTTTGCAAATGTAAACATTTGAAATATATTTAATTATGATCATCTAAGTGTGGAATCAATGAAGAAAATACTTCTATTTTCACTTGGCACGATATTCTGAGCAAGGAGAGATACCACCTGTATCATTCCTCAAGTTTAGCCCACTCAGCATCAAGTCCACTACAACTCAAGACAAACTCCAAATACATGTGCTGATTCACAAGGAGAACACTGTTGCCAAAAGTGCAGCAATAATTACTCACGCATTTTATGACAGGTTAATTATAGCTTAACTTTTTGTCAGCAACGATTCCAAGTTTCTGACAGCTATAAATGCTAACAACTAAAACTTCTTTCAATAGTGTCACGCACATCACACATATAGCCAAATAAAATCCAACACTTGGCTCAAGTACTATTTCTCAATGTGCCAGTGGCACCAACACTGCTGTCATCAGTCTTGTTTGATTCTGTTTTATGTTATCTCTGTTAAGCCGCATATTTTGAATTATATAAGTATGCTCACAGAAATTTGATTCTTTTCCAATTTCTTGAGTCCTGAGTGTATATTGCCCCCAAAATATTCGCAATATAAGCTTCACTGAATGAAAAAAATATATAAAATCAAAAGGAAGCAGAATAAATGACACTGAGTAGCATTCACCTTTATTTATTGAATCATTGTAATGTTCCTAAGGCAATAAACGACTCAGAGCATAGTCATAAGTTTGCTCACGGCTCATTCCACCAGTTTATTTTTCTTCTCTCTGGACTCTTGCAGTGCTTTATATTCACAAACATCAACATTCTTCTAGTATCTCACCCACAAGTGAGAATTCTCCAAACAAAGAGCTGATAATAATGCTTTGTAACCATGAGACCTTTCTTAGCTCAGTCCAGCCTGTTCTCACATGCATTTTCCAGCAGTGGTCACTCTGGAAGTGATCAGGAACAAGAAGATTGACCGATTTGAGGTATGTGGTAGCTGCATCTTGTTAACTTTATGCAAGATGACCTCCTGATGATGCCAAACACATTTCAAGATCTTTCTTGTAGGGTTTTTGCAATGCATTGATGGCAATTCTAGTGGATCTGGAAATACAAATAATTAGTACCAATATCTATCTTGACTATATTGGCAGGATTTATTTAATCTTGGGGATTGAACCCAAGATCTTCATAGTTCTGATTTGGTCACAAGCAATATAGCCATTGAATAAGGCCTAATATGACTGCTTCCCTACTTCTTCGTTCATGTTATAATAGCAGACGGTGTTCTCTTTATTGCTAAGATGATGAGCAGTCACCGAGAAATGATCCAGTCACTAAAACTAAAGTTTGCTTGTACAAATTGGCCGATAGTATTTGTGTACGAAACCATTTGATTAATTAGCAAATTTTGATGTTAATCTACATTCGGTTTAGTTTCATGCATCCTCCAGATGTAAAAAATGTTAAGTATGGCTGAAATTTCAAAATTTGTCAACAAATCTTTTGTTGACTCAAAATTATTCAACATGGCAACAACACCAAACAATCAGACTTAACACGGGTCTCTTTTTCATATTTACAAGCAAAAGTGAATTTGTTTTATAATTATTGACTATGCATGAATTGGCCCTGAATGTTCTCAAAGCCTCAGCCTAACTTTGAGGCTGTGTCCTGGGGAATGGAGGAGGTTTTGTCAAATCCCTGTTTGAACATTATTCAACAGCTAACACTACACACTCGTGCTATTTTCAAAGAAGAATTAATCCACGCAAAGCTGTGACATTCGTGACCCAAGGTCATGAGATTGCACAAATCACTTCCAGGTGGAAAATAATCACTTGTTGAAGGGAAAAGAAAAGCTCTGTAGGCCAAAATTAAGTAATGATGCAAAATAGAATCTGTCCTCACATAGCGTAAAAATAATAAACAGCAAGTACCTTTTAGGACTGATCTATATTTTATAATCAATGTAGACAGTTCCCTTTCAAAAGTTTTAATTTTTCCAATATACAGCTTGTCTTAATAGGCTAATCAATGGAAAAAGTAGTGCTCTTGGCCTATTTGTTCATGCTTAAGAGCAAAGGTTACCATTTCATATAACATTTGCAAAAGTATGTTCAACTTGAAATATAGTAAGTACTCTTGAAGACTTTGATGTCGACAAAGAGCAGCAGATTTTTTTCTTCTGATTTTAAATCAAAGTGCACAATTTTAATGAAAGTCCCTTTGCCATGTGCATCATTTGCAATTAGTAGTGCTGAAGGTTGATCTTTATCATGTTTTTTTTTATTTTTGTTATGTTCATGTCCAGATCTCTTGTGTTGTATGTAAGTTTAACGAAAAGACTGCACTGGAGAGAAAATGGGTAAGTGAACTACAGGCTGCTGTCAATGTTGAATCCTGTTATACTGCTCTCGCTATTATCTTCTAACCCAAAACCCCACTCCCCCAAGCTCTGTCCAATCCCACTCCCAACTTGATTCTTGTAGGATAAGCACTTTACCAGGATTGCATTCAATTGCTGACTCAAGTCATGTCAAAATGACATCAATTGCCAAGTCTAATCCCTGTGCTTTTGAAGGATGCCTCAACAAAGAACTGATAAGACAACCCTAACCTTACTGTATAAGCTGCTTAGTTCCTTGATTCAAGGGGAAAAAAATTAACCATACCAGAAATTTCATACAGATCAATATTTTGGATAACCTCTTTAATACAAAATAAATTATTTCCTTTTCTTAATGAAATGATGACAATAAATTCAAACTGTTGCTGCTGTTGTTTGAAAAAGAGCATGATGTGATTGCAATTCTTGCATTGAGACGTTTTCCCCCATTTATTCGCATCAAGAATCAAGTTATTCAAAGTCAATCACTGTTTAATAATTAGTACAGGTGGCAGCAAACCTGGTGCCTTGAGTCTTTCTATTCTGGGCAAACGCGGGTGCTCATCTATGGGCCTTTTGAAAAGGACATCAGTATTTAGGTTAAGTGCAGCTTCCAACAAAATTGTTGCCAGATCTGTTCATCATTTTTGTTATGCTGCTCAATTATCCCAAATAGCTGGAATTTCTCCTCTGCAACCACAAATTTTCCTGTCAACATTAGACTTTTAAGATCTAATTTGATTTTGAAACAATTTCAATGGACAGGATAAAATTAAGCATTTTAGAAGCTGGACTACTGCCAGTCCATCATGCAACCTCTCTCCAGGGATTGGTGGTACTGAGGAAGAGAAAAAATATGTTAATTCAGCCCATTCCAATGTCCCTGATGCATGCATTAGGAATGAGTGTCACTAAGTTTGGTTCAGAAGTTTGCTCTATATCTTTCATATAGTTTGTAAACTATGTCACATGCACTGAGAATAAACATCACCTTCTGATGACAGCTCTGAACTCAATGTGTTTCTTTATTCTGGTTTGAGTGGATGTGGCTATAATCCTGTTATAAGTTTACGAGATAAGTACAGATGAGGAAAATTATATGGTCCATCTTAACTCAACCATTCAAACGACCCCATCAAGGTATCCTATCATTTGATCAATAATTTTAGGATTTCTACCATTCTTGATCAATCTTGTAAGAGAAGAAAGAAGGTACTTGCATCGATATAATGTCTTTCACAATCTCGGGATGTCTTGAAACAATTTATAACCAATTAGCAGTTATGGAGTACAGTATCATGATGATGGATCAGAGCCCTGAAGTACCTGTAGACAAATTGCAACATGCATTTTCTTTTTAAAATAACACACACAGCCAAAGAATGACTGTGGATATAAATTCAGTGGCAGTCTGGAGAGGAGCCCTAGTATCTCACACCTGAAGGTGCCAAGGGAACTCAACAACCCTTTAAAGGGACAATGGTTAAGTTAAAACAAACTGGACTGTAATTCCTTGTAGCTAAATGGATAATAAGTAGCAAACTATTCCTCCCTCCCTCCTCAACAGAAACTGTATACTGTGGATTTTACCCAAACTGTAGGGATTTCCTTTTTCAAGAATATGGAAGCACAGAGGTTAAAAGCCAGTTTCAACACTGATCTGTGGGAAAAGGTTTATGTTCTGAAGGTCACAGCTGAGAAAACCTCTAGTCATCTTTGCACTGTAACTAAAAAGAAAGGAAGACTCACTGTTTGAGGTGAGTTTGGGAAGATCATGCAAAAAAATCTCACTAGTCTCATGGAGAGTCCTTTTTATTTACTGCATGAGGGATGATGGTTACGCCAGCATTTATTTCCCATCCTTAATTACCCAGAGGGCAGTTTAAAAGTCAATGACATAACTGTGGGTCTGGAGTCACATGTAGGCCAGACCAGATAAGGATGGCAGTGTACTTCCCAAAAGGACATTAGTGAAGCAGATAGGTTTTTCCAACAATCAACGATTCATGATCATCATTCGACTCTTAATTCCAGACTTTTTTTTCATTGAATTCAAATTCCACCATCTGCTGTGGCAGGATTTGAACCTGAGTCCCCACAGCATGACCTGCACCTCTGGATTAATAGTCTAGCAATACTACTAGTCGGCCATTGCCTTCCCTGAAATCCTTCATGAATTTGCCAAAATTCACACTTTGCTGATTTATAGTAAAATTGTTGCTGACTATTTTCCCTGTTGTTACTTGCTCATGCATAGTGACTCGTGTTTTGCTTACAATCACTCACCAGTGCACTTCAGTTCTGTTCAGTACGTTGTCTATTTGCTGTCATCCGTAATATAAATGTTGGGGAGGCTGTGGCAATATGGTAACGTCTGGATTACTAACTCAGAGATCCAGACTAATGCCCTGCATACATAGTGCCACCTCACCACAGCAATGGGTGGAATGTAAACTCAATGAATAAATGTGAAATGGAAAGCTAGCTGATTAATCTGACCATGTAACAAGAGACTCATCTGCTTCACTCATGTTCTTTTGGGAACGAAATCTGCCATCCTTAACTAGCCTGGCCGATATGTGACTCCAGAGCTGCAGCAATGTCATTAACTCTTACCTGCCCTCTACTGAGTTCAAAGGCAAATAGAATGGGGAATAAATGTTCAAATTGCCACCTTGCTTGAAAGGTGTGCAAATGAATATCATAAACAAATGAAAGATTAATTTGTTGGCATACTGAATGAGTTAATTCAATGGACTAATTTCTATATAAGCCCGAATTAAGTATTTAAATAAAAGTGGAAAGAAACGTTTAGAAGCCACAATGCCTTTACCCTTTAATTTTGTATGCAAATAGCTTCAACAGCAGGCTTGAAATAATGTCAAGATTAAAGAACAGAGACAAACACGGAAGACATAATTATGTCGCCAATAAAGATTTCCCTAAATGAACTTGATTTCTTAATGGCACTAGAGATTGTGATGGTAATGAAGTTGCTATTACATGGTTATGGCTAATGACCAGCCATTATTGAAGAGAAATGGCCCACAGGGAAATTGGTTTTGTGTTGATTTTTATCAGAAGTGTCTTCATTATTTGATGGTGTCTTCAACTATCCAAAAACAAGCACCCCAGCCTCCAGGAGCTGAACAGCAGGTTTTTAATTAGATTACTCTTCTCTCTTTCTAAAGGCACTAACTGGCTGGGATTTTGGAGGGTGATGGGTTTTAGTGGGTGACCCCCAGGAGATCAGGGGCAACACCAACTTTGTCATTTATGGGAGTCATAGCATATAACTGGAGAAGTGTATGGAATATAGAGAACATGGGAAAATAAATAGCAACATCTTAATAAATATCCATATTTCACAGATGGTGGTGCTGGACGACTTGAAACACATAAACATGGATAAATCCCCAGGACCTGATCAGGTGTACCCTAGAAGTCTGTGGGAAGCTAGGGAAGTGATTACTGGACCCCTTGTTGAGGTCATCGAAAGCCACAGGTGAGATGCCTGAAGACTGGAGGTTGGCTATTGTGGTGCCACTATTTAAGAAAGATGATAAGGAAATGTCAGGGAACTAGAGATCGGTGAGCGTGACATCAGTGGTGGGAAAGTTGTTGGAGGGAATCCGGAGGAACAGGATTTACATGTATTTCAAAAGGCAAGGACTGATTAGGGATAGTCAACATACCTTTGTGCATGGGAAATCGT